GTTTCGAAAAAAGACCATTGCAAGACTGACAACAAGTGGGACTCGAGTCAGTGAACTCTCATTGAAAATTTTCAAACAAAATCTTTGTAATTTTAAGGAACTTTTTTGGGAACTTTTGATAACTTTTCGTGGAAACCCCAGCATTTTGGAGACTGGTAACCACACCTTTTATTAGTAACTGTGAATAAGATTTATTAGTAGATGATAAATATGTAATATTAGTGCTTCGCTACGTACATCCTGCATCATTAGCATTACATAGTGATAGAATAAACTTGATCATCTGACCAAATGAAAATCATGACTCGTCTAGAAACAAGTAAATAGAAATAGACTTCAGACTTCAGCATTCCTTCCTGAAGCCGTGTTCGAGCGTGAGGGAATAGGTCGTGAGGGAAACGCTCGAGGCGACAGGCCGGTCTCTGGTGTCATGTAAGTAAATAAAAATATTTTGTGTGTGTGTGTGTGCGTGTTTTCATTAAAGTTAGAATCTTTTATGCTGGTCGCAAAATCAGCTCTATTAAACTCTTGACTACGGTGCGCCACTTATTGACTCAGTGTAGTACCTAAGGTTTAAACATCACATTATTATCATATCCTAAATACGTAACTCAGAAATATGAAAGGGAGATGTTGATTCTTGATGACAGAATGTAAATAGCTTACATATTTGATATGTACAAATTACATGTAAGGTTACATGTACATATATGTATATTTTATGTATATGTTTGCATATATACGTATATCTGTGTGTATGTGTGTGTTATATGTGTGTGTCTATGTACGTAAATGTATATGCATATGTATATGTATCTATAATATACACACGCATACACATGAGCCTTATGTATATATATTGATATATTTATATTTCGTTAGCTGTCTATCTATCTATCTATCTATCTATCAATCTATCTATCTATCTATCTATCTATCTATCTATATATGGAAGTGGTCCTATTGACGCCACTTTCCCCGCCAATCCGTGAGTGTCAGACCTGTTTACCCAGATCCTGGTGTGTACAGTACAATGTCTCCAGGGCTGGAAATCGGCCACACCACTGCAGGCGCTGCTTTCCCAAGCTTGTGCTTTTTATTACTGTGTTATTTTTTTGCTAATAAAGAGTCAGAGTCGATGAAGTTATTGTTGCTTCCACTAGACGAGAAAGATTATCATAGGAAAATAGCTTCTTGCAGTATGTGTATTCATGTTGATGCATAAGTACATACATATTCACATTGCCCCCCCCCCCCACCCTCCTCGCACATACACATCATCACTCAATATCTATGAGGGAAGAGGGAGAAATAGAGGGGGGGGGGGCTTTGAGTATTAAGGAGAAAAAAGGACAGAAAGAGGGATAGGGTGAGGAAGAGGGTGAGTGGGAAGGAGAGGGAGAAGATGGGGAGATAGATGAGAGAGAGAGAAGAGAGAGAGAGAGAAGAGAGAGAGAGAGGAGAGAGAGAGAGAGGAGAGAGAGAGAGAGGAGAGAGAGAGAGAGGAGAGAGAGAGAGAGACGGACAGTGAGGGGAGTGAGGCGAAAGAGAAAAGGGAGGAGAAAATGAATGAGAAACAGGAGAGAGAAAGATAAAGAAGAGAGAGAGGAAGGAGGAGAGAGAAAAATATTGAGAGAAAGAAATGGAAAGAAATGACTAAAAGGTGAGAAGAGAGTAACGGACAGTGAGGGGAGTGAGGCGAAAGAGAAAAGGGAGGAGAAAATGAATGAGAAACAGGAGAGAGAAAGATAAAGAAGAGAGAGAGAAGGAGGAAGAGGAGAGAGAGGAGGAGAGAAGGAGCGAGGGAAGGAAGAGGAAAATAGGAAGCGAGAGGAGGAAGGAAAAAAGAGGAAGTGCAAGAAAAAGACAAAGAGAGAGAGAGAGAGAGAGAGAGAGAGAGAGAGAGAGAGAGAGAGAGAGAGAGAGAGAGAGAGAGAGAGAGAAAGAGAGGATCATTACATCCTTAACCTCGGCTTCTTTTGTGGTACGATTGGCCAGTAGACAACACCAATAAACACTCTCCCGCGTCTACTTTTGGCGTCGAAAGTGGTCAAAGTGGGTGGTACACAGACTGTAAATTGACTTGGAGAGTTTTAAAGGTTAATGGAATGTAAATTGTTGAGACCAATACCCTATGTGAATTAAACTACATTGTAAACACTATGTGATAAATTTTCCCTCGAGTTTACATTAAGATCAGTCAGTTCAAAGGCAATTATGTGTATAGCATATGTATTTGTAAACGCTAACATCTTCGCTTAATCTCTATATCTGTACGTCATTGTACCTGCTTTTAAACCTGTCTGTTTATCTCCCTTTTTTTATTCATGCATTGAAAGATTGAGGGGTTGAAAGAAATAAGAGAAGAGGAAGAGAAGGGGAGAGGAAGGGAAGGGAAGAGGAAGGGAAGGGAAGAGGAAGGGAAGGGAAGAGGAAGGGAATGGAAGAGGAAGGGAATGGAAGAGGAAGGGAAGGGAAGAGGAAGGAAAGGGAAGAGGAA